TACCAGTGCAGTTTTGTAAGAATTGACTAGCAGCCGCTTGCACATTTCTATTTGATGGGTTTTGTGATGAAATTTGTATTTACATATTCGAAATTTTTTAATACTCTAAAACATCTCACAGTTTTCAACTGGCTCTATGGAGCGCATTTTTTTCTTACCAATCACATCAAACTGATACCTTCTGACTTATGGGCAATAGCCCAATTAAACATATTGTAACAAAGCTCGAATGTTCCGATAAGCTAATTGGAATATGTCACCTGTTGGGATACTATTTTGGCATTTGCTAAAGTCTCAAATTTGTTGTGCGTCTCTCGTGTGCTGATGACATCTTTTATGAACCACAAATATCTATCCAGTTCTATTGTTTTTAAAGATGGATAAAATGGAATTAATGCGTAACGATAAGGAAAAAATCGCCGATTGGCTTCCATAATTTCAGATTTGTACATCGTGAATGCGACAGATCAGACGTAAACTTATCCGAGTTCGTTTGTGCGTCGTGTCGCCGATCTCCTTTGGTTGGTGATATCATGCTTTCTGCTGCGATTGGTCCCGCTTCCCCTCTTGGAGCTGAGTCTGGTAAGTCTGGTTTCTATCGATTATTTTTATCTTCGATAGTAACAAGCACATTGCTCATCCCAGACTCAATGGCTGCGCCCTCATCTGCAACCGTATCCGACATGACGCTTAACCCATTTCGGTCAAGTTCGCCTGTCAATCCTGCCTCAGTCGTACCAGACTTCAACGTTGACGTGTACAATATGTCAGAAGGCATCTCTTCACCTGCTACAACTAGCGATTCTGCTCGTAATTCGCCTTTTTACCCGGAAAATTCCCCATCCGACGTTGATGAAGACTTTGTTCCTGGAAGGTCGGCTGACTTCTCCGTTTTTATTTGTCATTCGTGCTATAATAAGAATTATAGGATGTATTCAATAGAAACATTCTTCTATATTTAGCTCTCGTGGTGGTTATACATCTCGTGGACGTGGAGGCGCCAAAAAGAAGCCCGGCCGTGGAAGTTCTAAATCCAGAGGGGTTAAACCTTTGGGTGTCGATTCAAGTCTATTCGCCCCACCTACTCGAGGGAAAAGGGGTAAACGTGGCTCAAAGTTGAATGGAACTGGAAAAGCACCTGGTAGCGGAAGAGGTCGAGGACGGGGGCGGTACGTATTACTTAGTGAATCTGTTGCTTTCCCATTTACAGAAGTAATTGTTGATCTAGACTATCCTGTGTAATGCTTGTCAGCATCTTTATCTAGCTTTCTCAGCTTCTGCAGTATCCTGGGGCATAGTACAATAATTAGGGTTTGATGTCCGTGTGCTATCTCAAAATCATTCTCCTTGCTCTTTCTCGGAATGTAATCTAATCACATTGCCCTCACACGCTCTCTTTTCTACAGAGGTTCTGCTTCTCAACTACAGCAAAGTGCCGTTTTGCAACAGATTATCATGCAGCAACATCAACAACATCACCACCAGCATTTTCATCAACCTCAGTCACAAATACGAGAAGTATGCTCTTTTGTCCTGTTTTGTTTGGGTAATTAAGAACTAGCTAGGTGTTTTTCAGATGTTTTTTCCTGTTCAGGTAGACGAAACTATGCTTGAAGATGACGAGGAACGAAATACACGTGCCGATGATGTTGAATATGTACGTACGGCAGTCGTGTGTGATGCACAAGATCCATATATGCAACAGGTAAAAGTTTTGTTCCTGAATTACACTATCTTTCATTTTCTATGATAAATGAGGAATTTGCAGGCAAGTTTGTGTCTGGTGTGTGGTGCGATAGGTAAACCGCACACGCAGGAAAGTTCCATGATTGCATGCTGTAACTGTGCGCAGACTTTCCACACCTACTGCGTCGGTCTTCACGAGAAGGTATATATCGCTCATCAAATATACGTCTCTTAGTGAATGTGATATCCTGTCATTATCAGAGAACATCTAGAATTCAATTATGCCATATGCGATATGAAGTAACTTCTGTTAAATTGTTGGTTTTACTTTTTGAATCAGAAATGCATTTTCTTCAAGGCATTTAAACTTTAGACATTTTAGGAGTACTTTTTTTGTTTTGCTCAACCATATTTTTGCTTATT